TATCTATTTTTAATATTTTTAGTGCAATTTTTTATTGGACAAGTATGTTTATTGTGGCATAACTATTTTTTGATCATTATTTAACTCAAAATCAATTTATAGTCTCGGAACCCACTTTTAATAGCAAAGCTCCCATATGATTGGTCACTACACATGCGGACAGGCTTCGGATAATCAGGACAAACATATTACCATGAAGGATAAAAAATTCCATAAAACCTCCTCCTGCGCTGGACTTTCATCATATAAAATGTCTTCTGTTAAGTGGACCAACACTCAGGTTCGCCTCCTAATTAATGAACGAAAACAGAGAAATAGGGAATACCACTCTACTCCAAATAAAAAGAAACGGCTTTTCTGGGATGGCGTTGTAGAGAAAATAATGAGAATTCAAATTATTTCACTGGTGAAGACTGTCATAAGAAATTTTTAAGTCTTACAAAAGCTTTTAATGTAGCAAAAAAATATAGAGAAGGAACCGGTCAAGAGGAGTTTGGTTGGGAAGAAATTGTATGAGGAGTTTTCTGACTAAAACCAGGTAATTACTTTTTTGGAGAAGACAAATGTTTCAAGAGCCCGCTTAATAACACGACTTCAATTTGCTAGAATTACCCTTCGAGCAAGAACATAATGAGAGTGTTAGAAGGATGAGTGGGGCAAGTTCATCGACATCACAACAGGAGGCATCCAGTCCTGAAGTAACAGCAAGTACACGTTCAAATCTATTATCTAGGGAATCATCTACTGAGCAAATACCACAATGATCATCTGCTTTTAGCGCCTCTGGTAAATCCGTTGCGCATTCTGAATCTCCTATACCATCAAGACTGGTAACACCATCTCTTGAAACATCTGCAATCTCTAAACCAGTCACACCTACTCTCCCTTCTTTTTCACAAAGTGCTAATGTCATTAATGTGACCATATAATTATGGTGAAAGGTCAAGCGAACAGCAGGAATAAGATTTTATGTTAGTATAGAATAGCATTTTTAACAAATTGCAAAGCAAATATTTATTGTAAAACTCATTTTGGATATAGTTCTGATTGTAAAAGAAATCATATGATTAGAATTTCAGCTGGGTCCTGCCAAAACAATAGCCAAGATTTTTTTAGACAGATTATTTTTATTATGTAAAATTCATACAATAAAGATATTTTTTTTTTGCATTTCTAGATATATAAAATATAATAAATTTTGTGGAGTTGCATGGGAAAATACAGTCAGACCTAAAGCCTATCCCGAAAGACAATGACTGCTTCTATTCTTTGGCTCCCTAACTATCGCCATTATCGCCATTATCACTATTACTACTGCTACTACTAGAATCCCTCCTTCCTTCTCTATTAACCCATGTTTCTATTTTATCCAAGGAAGTAGTCCTTGGTGTTTTTTGGTGGTGGTAGAAACTCGCCAAAGTCGTAGAACTTAAACGTATTTCCTGAGAAATTACATTGTATAACTGTGTATGGGAGTGCCCTTCCCTCCTTCTTCTTTGATTAAATAAAGCTGTGAATTCTACCCATAAAGTTTGAACTTCATCAGGATATTCCGAATATTGGCTGGTAGATACACGGCTGGAAAAAAATCGAGATGAACCTAAATGATAAATAATAAAAAAGTTAGTACCTATTTACCCTGAAGACATATGCAAAGACAAC